AGCCATGCTGGCTGGGGAATTCTGGGAGTTGAAGTCCACTCATCTTAAAGTGGCCAAGTTTGGACAACACTGCTCTAAAGGAAAAAAAAAAGGGATGGAAGGATCGGTGAGTAAGCATGGGGAGGTTCTGAGGAGAAGAGGATAATTTCTGAACATTGCCATTCATCCCGCCAGAATTCGCTGAATGAGGCAGAGTAGCTCTATGATAAAGCATGAACCCCAGGGGTGAATGATTCCCTGTATTCTGACGTGGCGCATTCTTGATTTAGCAGCTGCTGCTTTGCTAGTTTAAGCCAAGGTTTCCAAAAGCAAATGATAGTTTTTTCCTCTTTCCCATCTTGGGCCGAGAAGGCAAACCCTGCTGCGTTCCCAAGCACATCTTCCCGCTAGGTAAGTGGCTGAAAGAGACTTGTCTTCTGCGAGGGGCTAGCTAAGGTAAAGACCAGATTGTTTAGGACCCAGGGGAATCCACAGCAAATAATATGCCTTCAATATGAGGAGTTCCTGCCCTCTCCGGGCAGGGAATCTCAAGTATCCTGGCAACGGAGCTCCCTCCTCTCTGACAGCTGCTTTCCTAGAACTCTATTGCCATCTCTGTGCCGTTCTTTCGCCCTCCCAGTGACATGGGCAGGCTTTAAGGCTACACCATGAATGACCAGTACCACCGTGCAGCCAGGGACGGCTATCTGGACCTGTTGAAGGAAGCCACCAAGAAGGACTTAAATTCCCCTGATGAAGATGGCATGACCCCGACCCTGTGGGCCGCCTACCATGGCAACTTGGATGCCTTAAGGCTGATAGTCAGCAGAGGGTAAGCCTGGCGTTTTGCACTGTTCTCTTTTGCTTTCCACCCAGGCCTTGGGGAAAAGGTTTATCCCTTCTTTCTGGGTATCCACTGACACTTGCAGGCCACTGAGGTGACAGCAGCTTCCATCTGTGTGTGGTGGCAGGTGAGATGCCTCAGGTTCACTGTTGTTGGGGAAGGGCTGGGTTTCAGGATGTGTTAATCTATGAAGCTTTAGACATATTGACAACATTAGTCTCAAGGCACTTGGAAAGCAGAAAACGTCTGACTTGGATCCATTCCTTCGATATTTCTCCTCTTCACCCCATCCCAACTTTTAACAGCTGAACATTTTGCTGAGGGTTATGCTTACCTT